AAACTGGACTGTCTGGCAGCGGGTAAACTTGAGGGCGGCTTTCCCTCAGAGGTGCTTGCAGCCTTTACCGGGACACTGAGACTTGCGACTCCTTAGGGCAGGGCTGAGGCTCCGCCATAGCTGCTTGCTCTGCCATTTGATTCCTTGAGACCCCGCCCCACCCAGGCTGAGGCAGAGGCTTTTGCATATGAATGCCCGGGCCCTTTGCAACCTGATATTACCTAACTGCCGCCAGGCCAGACAGACTCAGAACTTCCAAGAGAAGGCCCAAGGCCCCACAGCGGCTTGCATTGCTTCACAGCTGGGCCTCATCTGGGCACCCCCAAACTCCAAAAAAGGAAGGGGAATCTGCAGTTCTCTTCGTAGCTCCTGCTGTGTAACCTCAGGCAGAGGCTAAATTAGCACCTCCTTAGATCCAAGAGCCACTGTACCTAGTGGTCAGGGGGGGCCATCCAGATCACAACTCCTCAGATCCACAAGGGACACACTCAGGGTGCAGTCTCAGTGAGCCCCACTGAAGCAAGTCTTGCCCCAGAAGGGTGTCTCCAGCACAGAAGTTCTCCCACTGCAGACACAGCTGATTCTCACAGCCAATTGGCCTGGAGGTCAATTCCTCCCAGTGATCCTACAACAACCAAGGCATAACTACAACAAGACTGTGCACAAAGCCCACAAGGGGGTGCACCAAGAGTGTCCACCTCAGGTAACTGGGGAGGCTGAGCCACTGGGCCCTACAGGACACCTAGCACACAAAGCCACTCTATCAACACAGGGAAGCAGCCAAAATGCGGAGACAAAGAAACAGGTCACAAATGGCAGAAATGGAGGAAAGCAAACGACTGGATATAGAGTTCAAGGCACGTTTATAAGGTTTTTCAAGAATTTTATGGAAACCGCCGATAAATTTAGTGAGTCCCTCAATAAGTATAGTGAGACCCTGGAGGACATGAAAAAGGACCAACTAGAAATTAAGCATACACTGACTGAAATAAAGAATAATTTACAGAGATCCAACAGCAGACAAGAGGATCCCAAGAATCAAGTCAAATATTTGAAATACAAAGAAACAAAACATACCCAACCGAAAAAGAAAAAAGAAAAGAGATTCCAAAAATATGAAGATAGTGTAAGGAGCCTCTGGGACCACTTTAAGCGTACCAACATCAGAATTATAGGGGTACCGGAAGAAGAGAGAGGGCAAGATATTGAAAACCTATTTGAAGAAATAATGACAGAAAACTTTCCCTACCTGGTGAAAGAAATAGACTTACAGGTCCAGGAAGTGCAGAGAACCCCAAACAAAAGGAATCCAAAGAGGACCACACCAAGACACATCATAATTAAAATGCCAAGAGCAAAAGACAAAGAGAGAATCTTAAAAGCAGCAAGAGAAAGACAGTCAGTTACCTACAAGGGAGTACCCATACGACTGTCAGCTGATTTCTCAACAGAAACCATGCAGGCCAGAAGAGAGTGGCAAGAAATATTCAAAGTGATGAATAGCAAGAACCTGCAACCAAGATTACTTTATCCAGCAAAGCTATCATTCAGAATAGAAGGTCAGATAAAGAGCTTCACGGATAAGAAAAAGCTAAAGGAGTTCATCACCACCAAACCAGCATGATATGAAATGCTGAAAGGTATTCTTTAAAAAGAGGAAGAAGAAAAAGAAACTCTTACCATTTGCCACAGCATGGATGGAACTGGAGAGCGGATAAATACCACATGATCTCACTCTTTTGTGGAATATAATGAACAACATAACCTGATGAACAAGGACTGATCCAGAGACGGAGAGGCATTGATTGGACTGTCGGGCCTTGGAGGGAAGGTAGGGGAGGGTGGGGGTAAGGGGGAAAGATCAACCAAAGGACTTATATGCAAGCATATAGGCCTAACCAATGGACACGGACAACGGGGGGGGGGGGAGGGCATGAGCGGGGGGGGGGTATAGGGTAACGTGGGGACAAGGACACATATGTAATATCTTAATCAATAAAAAATATATTAAAAAAAATTCGGAGCCACCTAATACAACGAGTGTGATTACGAAGACAATGGGACAGACTATTAGCATCTGCCTTGATTATGGTTCTTTAAGCCACCACAACCTACTGCTGTTCCCATCTACATAGGACAAGGAACAGCCTAGCTTTGTCCCAGCATATTGCAGCCCTGCTTTTGAAAATAAAAGCATCAAAACATATGAACCCCCAAGATCCAAACTGTTGGCTCTGTTACCTTGGCTTCCTTTTCTCTTTAGCTCTCTGGATTTGGTGATTGTCTGTTATCTCCCTGGCTAGTATCTGGACCTAGGTTTCCACAGAGTGGGCTTTGCTGGGGTTCAATATCCCAGGCTGTCTCAACAAGAATCTATTTTCCATCTTGCTGCTGTGGCTCCGTTGGTTGAGCATCATACTATGAACCAGGAGGTCACGGTTTGATTCCAGGTCTTGGTGCATGCCTGGGTTTCAGGTTTGATCCCCAGTAGGGGGTCTGCAGGAGGCAGCTGATTAATGTTTCTTTTTTAAAAAAAAAATATTTTTATTGATTTTTTTTTTTTTTTTTTTTACAGAGAGGAAGGGAGAGGGATAGAGAGTTAGAAACATCGATGAGAGAGAAACATCAATCAGCCACCTCCTGCACACCCCCCGCTGGGGATGTACCCACAACCAAGGTACATGCCCTTGATTGGAATCGAACCTAGGACCCTTCAGTCCGCAGGCCAACGCTCTATCCACTGAGCAAAACCGGTCAGAGCTAATGTTTCTTTAAAAAATATAAATATTTAAATTGATTTCAGAGAAGAAGGGAGAGGGAAAGAGATAGAAACATCAATGATGAGAGAGAATCATTGATCGGCTGCCTCCTGCATGCCCCACAATGGGGATCAAGCCCGCAAACCGGGCATGTGCCCTGACCGGGAATCGAACTGTGACCTCCTGGTTCATAGGAGCTCAACCACTGAGCAACACCAGCTGGACACTGATTGATGTTTCTATCTCTCCCTCTCCCTTTAGCTCTCTGAAATCAATAGAAACATATATTTTTAAAAATAATCTATTTTCTCGTTCCTTCCTAGTAATACAACTCCTCTCATCCTGGAACTGGGCAAGCCATACACTTACCTTTTCTGGATCTCCCTCCACCACACTCTTTCCCCACCCCTCAAACACACATTAGCACACATACATACTCATGCAAGATAAACCAAGTTGTCACTTAAGACTTTAGATGGTGGTCGGTTGATAGAAATTCTCCTGGAATAAAAGTTCCTTTTTATTTTTTTATTTTATTTTATTTTATTTTTTAAATATATTTTATTGATTTTTTACAGAGAGAGGAAGGGAGAGAGATAGAGAGTTAGAAACATCGATGAGAGAGAAACATCGATCAGCTGCCTCCTGCACATCTCCTACTGGGGATGTGCCCGCAACCCAGGTACATGCCCTTGACTGGAATCGAACCTGGGACCTTTCAGTCCGCAAGCCGATGCTCTATCCACTGAGCCAAACCGGTTTCGGCAAAGTTCCTTTTTAAAAATTAAAATATACGAAGAGGACTGAGCCCAGTAGTTTAATTAATACAATTTGTGACATATTTTAACATGTAAGCAGCTCTGCACACTAGCAGTCAGAGTCTGGGAGTCTTTCTGGGGCAAGGACAAAGGGACAACTTTAAGGGGGTGATGAGGAAGACAGTTGAATAGGGCAAAAGAGTTCCTAGTTTGCTTTTGTACCTAGCCTCTTGGTGAGAAGCCAGTGGCCACCGAAAACCTGAAAGTCATCTTTCCCTTTGAGTGGGCTGCCAGTACCTGAGTTATCAGGACTAACTCAGAAAGTGCCAAAAATGATTATCTTCCAATTTAGTCCAGTCTTCCCATGCTAGGCAATCCCTGCTCAGCATTAAGGTCAGCGTAGTTTGTCTCCATTCATTGCCTTCCCCAACCTTAACAAGTAAAAATGAAACAAGATAAAGGAGAAGAAAGCAGCTCATTTACTCCCTCTCCTGATTTAGTAATGGCACAGTGTTTGGAAATGTTCAAACTATGAAGAACAGACTTTCTATGTTTCTTTGAAAGGGGGGTGTCAGAAATGTAGGTTCCCCCAAAGTACTAGAACTGAGTGCATCCAATGCCATAGGAGTTTTATTTCTTCACAGGTACAGTAACACTTGAGAATAAAATCACAAAACATTAGAAGCAAAACGAATCTGGATGACAGTACTACTCCCTCATTTTAAAGACAAGGACTTTTAGGACTTTAAAATCCCCAGTTTGGGGATTTCCCATATGGAAAGATACCTAAACCCTTACAATTGTATTCCACTCTCATAGTCTGTAATTACATTGGGTTCGTTGGACTTAAAAATTACATACAAATAGAGCTCCAATTACAAAAAAAAATCATGATGGTTGATATAAACAAATACTACCCATTGTTTTCACCAAAGGATTGAGGCAGTACATGTTTATTCTCTAAAACTGTAAAATAAATTGTCATTGCTCAGGCCCCTTAGAGGGCTGGATTCCTGTATAAATCAAACCGGCTCACTAGCAGCTTACATAGCTAACACCCAGCACCTTTCACCCCAGCTGGTGAGGTAAACTGGGCAGGAAGCTTATAAACCCCCACCCCCACTCTGGTAGAATGTTGGAACTGTGTAAACAACGCCCCTTGGTGGTCAACATAAGAAAAAGCAAAAACCAATGCTGACAAATCAGGGCTCTAGCAAAGGTCACAGTCCTGTCTTAAAGTCATCTTCTAGTCTATGGGAACCTTTGCTGGGTCAAGGGAGAAATCATGGGGAAAACAGCAGGGGAGAGGAAAATCTGCATTTTTTTCTGGAGATGGTTATATGTGCCTAATTAAGGTTAGATCTCAAAGAAAGCAGAGACATTTTTGTATCCCATTGAGTCTGAACAGGCAGCTATAAGAGCCACAGACACATGTTATGCTTATATACATAAACATGATTTTTATTGTTAGCATCAATGAACACAGATTAAAGAATATTCACATGCCAAGGACATAATGCTCACAACATCACAAAAGGGCTACTGATTTGTGTTCATATATGATCTGGTGAATCACTATAGGTCTGAGTGAAATAGTATTAGAAAGATTTCTGACACTTCATTTCCATTTGGACATCTGCAATAACTTCATTAGAAAGAGAAAGCAGATGCTTTGAAGTTGATATATATACTTTTTACAGATGTATGGATTCACCAAAAATGAAAATTACATCCCATTAAACACATTTTAAGAAATATATAAAGAAAGCACAAAAAACCACGGATTTGGTTCAATGGCTTGCCTAATTAAAGGCTTTTTAATTTTTTAAGTTTTAACAACAATCCCCTGTAAAGCTGTCAGGGGTACTTGATAGTACAGAAGAAAGGTGCTTTCTAAGCAACTCTAGGGCTCTGTTATTTCTCGCTTGCATGGTCTTCTCAATTCTTAGTTCATTCTTGATGGCATCAAGCTCTCCATGGATCTTTTCCACTTCTAATTCATAATGCAATTTTATTTCTTCCTTTAGGAGTGCATTTCCAACTTTAGTTTGATGTTTTAACTTCCTCACAACTTCTTTTAAGCCTCTGTTCTCTTGGCTCAACTTGTGGATGACTTCTCTGGCTTGCTGGAGCTCTTCAGTTAAGTTTTTGAAATTTGTTGCTTTTTCAGATAGGCCATTTCTTAAAGCTTGAAGTTCCCAGTCTTTTTTCAAAGTTTCTGTCCCTGTTTCTTGAAAATTTAGGGCTTTTGGGCAGATTTCCTTTTTGGCGTTCAAAAGTTCTTTTTCAGCATTTTCAAATTCCTCTTCTATTTTTCTGCATTTCATATTGAGCTCTTCCAGGTCATTCAAAACATTCAGGCTAACATTTTGAGACTTTCCTTCAGTATATTTCTGCTTGTTGTTTTGTCGCCATCGAGATAGATATTCTTTTTTATTCCAGATGCAGTAGTTTTCTGTGCTATTAAAGCTTTCTTCAGTTGTAACATCCAAATTAGAGGATTCACAGGAGACAGAATTTGTGTCTGCTTCATTCTTTGAAACGTTCATCTTTCTCTCTCTCAAATTTGGTTCTTGTTCTTTTTCATTTGGTTGGGAAATAAAGTCTTTCCTCCGAAATTTATTCTCTTCTTGAAACTTTCTACTAGACATGTTGTAAATTTCTCCCATTCTCTTGGCCTTCCCAAAAGTCATTTGTTCAGGAAGAGATTCAGGCTGTAAAACCTCATTTAGAACATCATGAGCACTAAAAGAAGGAGCAAACATGTTCTCTTTCCAGTGTTTTCTCCTACCATCCATTTCTTCAAGCACCTCTTCCAATTCCTGGAAAATAATTTTAATCAAAGCACATTATTTACACTGGCAGCTATTGTAGTGAAAAGAACTAAGAATGCTGGCTCATGGCTGAAGGAACTTAAATATTTGAAGACTGGTTTTCCTTATAACTCACGAAGTGGCCTGGGCCTCAGTTTCCTCATTTGTAATATCACTGAAAGGGTGATATTAGCTAAGTTCTACAGATCCTTCCAGCTTTAAAATTCTCTGATGCTATGAAATATAACCAATAAATTGATACATTTGGTCATTAATTATAGAAAATAATTCTATAAAAGACAACCATACACATGAAAACAGGTTGCTTCAAAAAGAGTAAAAGTGATTTAAAATCAATAGGCCTAATTTTAAAATAGGCTAATACCTGTGCTTTCAATTTCCCTGATTTTTCTTCAGTTCTTTTTGGTTGGACTACTGTTTATTCATTCTTTAAAGTGACTAAAACATCAGGGCTTAATGCAATGTGAGCTGCTTTTGGTAAAGTATACCATTCAAACTTCCTCATGACTAACTCTGCCAAATGCCCTTCTGTCTTGACCTGTAAATTCCTGCTTTTCCAGTCTTGGGCTTTGCTTTTAGGCATGACTGCAAAGTGTACAGAATTCTATCCATTTTGACAGCAATTTCATGATGAGAACCGAATGTCAACAACTGAAAATACCACCAAATGTGTTTTTCTCAAGATATTAATTTCAAGTGTAGTTTTTAGGTGAAACCTTAGCATGCTAAATCATAATCAACTTTCTAAATGCATCAAAATTAGAGGATGTTTATTTTGTTTCTTCAGTATTCAAAGGGAATCCTTAACATACAACTCTATTAAAACATGGAAGTATTTAATTGGTTACTACTTCTGAGAGAAGGGAGAAAGAAGGACCCAGGCAACACACTGAAGGGCCACTGGCATCTGAAGCCAACAAACTAATAATTTAGTTACTGCTAAGAGTCAAAAGAGGGAGGAAGGGGTAACTTCATTCATTTTATATATTAATCTTCTGTAATATATTTGTGGTATTACCAATGAGAAAGGTCAAATTTTGCCTGCATCTATTTTTCCCATGCACACAAATGTAATTTTATCTTGGTAACAAAAAATGGCAACCATTGTATTTATTTTTAAATTAATATTCTCTTTAATATTATTAAAGATTTGAAATGTTATAATAGTAAATTATTTAATGCATAATTTATATTTATATAATATTCATATTATGTAAAGATTATAATAGTAGTATTTGTTATTTGTGGAATTTTGGAAAATACAGAAAAGGAATCCCCTCATAATCCCATGGCCTTGAGATAACCACTTTTTGATATATTATCTCTAATACTTTCTTTTTAGCAAGAATAGTTTAAATTTTAATACATGTCCTTGCTACCAACAATGACACTTCATATCTACATGTACTGAACATGCCTGACCCTCAAGGGTACATCTCCACTGTCAACTCACTTGGCTTTGAGGAAAGGGAAAGGTGCAAATATTCAGTAAAGGTGTTAAAATGATGGGTTCAAAAGCTATAAGGCAAGCTTTAGTAAACTTTAGTCAATCAGACTAGAATAATAAGCTGCGACTTCAAATTTATGATATAGATTTGCCATTGGAAGCATCACCTCCTTTTTCTTGAAATGGTTCTGATTTTAATTATTCTACTAGTCACCATCCAGAAGGACCTATGACCTATCTGTTCTTAAAGAGGAAAGATAATCATATAATGCTGGTTTCTCTCCCCTCTAGTATTAAGGATGCAAATGAGTAGAGATTATTACAGCAATCATAAAGGAAAGAAACAGAAGAAAAAGATAAGATGATGATGCTAATTGCCAGCCACATTTTACATTTTTTATGTTTTATTTATCATTTATTCTTTAAAAAATATTTATATTGATTTCAGAGAGGAAGGGAGAGGGAGAGAGAGATAGAAACATCAATAATGAGAGAGAAACACTGATCAGCTGCCTTCTGTAGGACCCCCCACTGGGGGAATCAAGCCTGTAACCAAGACATGTGCCCTGACCAGAATTGAACTCCTGACCTCCTGGTTCACAGGTTGATGCTCAACTACTGAGCCATGCCTGCTGGGCTATTCTTTAATAGAATTTATTGGGGTGACATCCTATCTAATAAAGCGGTAATGTGCAAATTGACCATCACTCCAACACACAAGATGGCCGCTCCGACGTGGTCAAAGATGGCCGCCCCCATGTGGATACAAGATGGCTGCCACAAGAGGGCCGGCAGGGGAGGGCAATTAGGGGCGACCAGGCCACCAGGGGTGGACAGTTGGGGGGGACCAGGCGTGCAAGGGAGAAAGGGCAGATGGGGGAAACCAGGCCTGCAGAGGAGGACAGTTGGGGGACCAAGTCTGCAGGGGAGGGCAGTTGGGGGGGACCAGGCCTGCAGGGGAGGGCAGTTTGGGAGGGACCAGGCCTGCAGGGGAAGGTAGTTGTGGGGGGACCAGGCCTGCAGGGGAGGCCAGTTTGGGGGGGACCAGGCCGGCAGGGGAGGGAAGGTGGGGGGAACCAGGCCTGCAGGGGAGGGCAGTTGGGGGGACCAGTCCTGCAGGGGATGGTCATTGAGGGGACCAGGCCTGCAGGGGAGGCAGTTGGGGGAACCAGGCCTGCAGGGGAGGGCAGTTGGAGGGACCAGGCCTGCAGGGGAGGGCAGTTGGGGGAACCAGGCCTGCAGGGGAGGGCAGTGGGGGGGGGCGGGACCAGCCCTGCAGGGGAGGGCAGTTGGGGGAACCAGCCCTGCAGGGGAGGGCCGTTGAGTGGGGGATGAGGCCTGCATGGGAGGGCAGTTGGGGGGACCAGGCCTGCAGGGGAGGACAGTTGGGGGGACCAGGCCTGCAGGGGAGGGCAGTTGGGGGGACCAGCCTTGCAGGGGAGGGCAGTTGGGGGGACCAGTCCTGCAGGGGATGGCCATTGAGGGGACCAGGCCTGCAGGGGAGGCAGTTGGGGGAACCAGGCCTGCAGGGGAGGACAGTTAGGAGAGAACAGCCCCGTAGAGGAGGGCAGCTGCGGGGGGGACCAAGCCTGCATGGGAGTGCAGTTGGGGGGGACCAGGCCTGCAAGGTAGGGCCGTTGGGAGGACCAGGCCTGCAGGGGAGGGAAGTTGGGGGGGGGACCAGGCCTGCAAGGTAGGGCCCTTGGGAGGACCAGGCCTGCAGGGGAGGGCAGTTGGTGGAATCAAGCCTGCAGTGGAGGGCAGAGCGGGGGGGGGGGGGGGGGGGACCAGGCCTGCAGGTGAGGGCAGAGGGGCGATCCAGGCCTGCAGTGGGGGGGGGGGCGCATTTAGAGGGCACCAGGTCTTCAGGGGAGGGCAGTTTGGGGGACAAGGCCTCAGGGGAGGGCAGTGAGAGAAGACCAGGCCTGCAAGGGAGTTCATTTGGGGGGACCAGTACTGCAAGGAAGGGTAGTAGGGGGGACCAGGCCTGCAGGGGAGGGCAGTTGTGGGGACCAGCCCTGCAGGGGAGGGCAGTTGCAGGGGACCAGTCTTGCAGGGGAGGGCAGTTAGGGGGGACCAGGCCTGCAGGGGAGGGGAGTTAGGAGAGAACAGCCCCATAGAGGAGGGCAGTTGAGGTGGGACCAGGCCTACAGGGGAGGGCAGTTGGGGGAATCAGGCCTGCAGGGGAGGGCTGTTGGAGGACCAGTATTGCAGGGGAGGGCAGTTGTGGGGAACAGGCCTGCACGGGAGGGCAGTTAGGAGAGAACAGCCCCGTAGAGGAGGGCAGTTGGGGGGGACCAGGCCTGCAGGGGAGGGCAGTTGGGGGGGACCAGGCCTGCTGGGAAGGGCAGTTGGGGTGACAAAGCTTCAGGGGAGGGCAGTTGGAGAAGACCAGGCCTGCAGGGGAGGTCATTTGGGGGTCCAGGACTGCAAGGGAGGGTAGTGGAGGGGACTAGCCCTGCAGAGGAGGGCAGTTGTGGGGGAACAGGCCTGCAGGGGAGGGCAGTTTGGCGGGGACCAGACCTGAGTGGAGGGCAGTTGGGGGCGACTTGGCCTTTTGGGGAGGGCAGTTGGGGGGACCAGGCCTGCAGGAGAGGGCAGTTTGGGGGGTACCAGGCCTGCAGGGGAGGGAAGTTGGGGGGACCAGGCCTGCAGGGGAGGGCATTTGGTATGGACCAGGCCTGTAGGTGAGGTCAGTGGGGGGGGGGGGACCAGCCCTGGAGGGAGGGCAGTTGAGTGGGGGACCAGGCCTGCAGAGGAAGGCAGTTGGGGGGACCAGTCATGCAGGGGAGGGCCGTTGGGGGGACCAGTCTTGCAGGGCAGGGCAGTTGGGGGGAACAGGCCTGCAGGGGAGGGCAGCTGGGGGGTGACCAGGCCTGCAGGGGAGTGAAGTTGGGGGAGACCACGCCTTCAGGGGTGGAAGGGCAGTTAGGAGGGCCCAGCCCTGCAGGGGAGGGCAGTTGGGGTGGACCAGTTCTGCAGGGTAGGGCAGTTGCGGGCTACCTGGCCTGCAGGGGAGGGCTTTTGGGGGGGACCAGGTCTTCAGGGGTGGGCAGTTTGTGGGACATGGCCTCAGTGGAGGGCAGTTAGAGAAGACCAGGCCTGCAGGAGAGTGCCTTTGGGGGGACCAGGACTGCAAGGGAGGGTAGTGGGGGAGGGACCACGCCTGCAGGGGAGGGAAGTTGTGGGGGACCAGGCCTGTAGGGGAGGGCAGTTTGTGGGACAAGGCCTCAGTGGAGGGCAGTTGGAGAAGACCAGGCCTGCAGGAGCGGGCCTTTGGGGGGACCAGGATTGCAGGGGAGAGAAGTTGGGAGGACCAGGCCTGCAGGGGAGGGCAGTTGGGGGGACCAGGCCTGTAGGGAAGGCAGTTGGGGCTACCAACCCTGCAGGGGAGGGCAGTTGAATGACCCAGGCCTGCAGAGGAGGGCAGTTGGGGGACCAGGCCTGCAGGAATGGGCAGTTGGGGCTGGACCAGGCCTGCATGTGAGGGCAGTTTGGGAGACCAGGCCTGCTAGGGAGGGTAGTTGATGGGGACCCAGGC